TAAAATCTCCCAATTAAAACCCACAATAAAATTCTGAACAGCAAAGGAAAGTATAACAAAATTGAAAGCAACCAACCAACTAAACATTACATTAATAAATAGACTGGGAACTAATATTTTTTTAAGATAACTCATTAGTTTATTTCATTTTAAAAGAAAAAATTGACTAGTATAAAAATTTAGAAAGTTAATTCACAACCAATGAATAAGAAATAAAATAAATTACTAGGAACTATTTTGCCCAATTTTTTGCAATAAAACTGATGATCTAAGTGAAATGTATTAATACTTTTAAAAATGTGACTTAAATAGCCTAATTTTAGGAAAATAAATTAAATTAGATGTAAGTAAACTCCCAAAAGGAGAAAAAAAAACACCCAGGACAAAATAGATTTACAAATGGATTTTACCAAACATTTAAAGAACGACTAATTCTAATACTACACGAAGTGTTTGAAAAATTATTTAAAGGACATATCCAACCAAATTCCTTCTATTGTATAAATATTGTCTCGATAGCTAAACTTTGGAGATTCAAAATAGATAAAGAAAACTATAGGCTAATACCCCTAATGAATATTAATACAAAACATTTTAACAAAATATTAGCAAGGAAACTGTTGCAATATATCACAAAGGTAATACAGTATTACCATGCTGGACTTATACCAGGAATGCAGGACTGGATGTATATAAGGAACCTATTAATAAAATTGACCATACTAATTACAAAATCAATAAAATAGTATATGATTATATTATTAGAGAAAAAGCTTTTGACACAATAAAGCATCAATTCCTTTTTGAAAACACTAGAGGACAATAGTAACTAAGTTATTTAAATCACCTTAGCTTAAACACAGAAAAAAAACAAGACTGGATTTATACCAGGGATGTCTGGTTCAAAATTAGTAAAATTGTAAATATAATTGACTGTATTAATAACAAAACAACAAAAATCATATAATTATTTCAATATTCACAGAAAATTTTTTTGACAAAACAAATCTACCTGTTTAAAAGAAAAAAGTAGAAATCTGATAATTAAACTAGATTTTCTCAAAATGATAAGTACCATCTATCTAAAATCAAGAACGGACTTGGTTTATAATGGGGATAAGCTAGTACTCTTGCTACTAAGATCAGAAGTGAAGTAAGGATGTCCACAATCATCATTATCATTCAACATTGTACATGAATGCTAGCAACAAAACAAGAATAGGAAATTGAAGTATGCTTAGGGAAAGAAGAAAGAAAACTATCACTTTTTTTTTCAGATGATGTGGTGTTTTACTTAGAAAAGCAGGGATTCAACTAAAAAGCTAATTGAACTAATTTTAACTTTCACACAGTTTCAGAATATTAAATAAACCCACACAAATGATCAACATTTCCATATATTTGTGATCAAATTCCAACCAGTAAGCTATAAAAAGAGAAATCATATTTAAAATTAGGAAAGAAGGCATAAAATACTTTTGAAGCATACCTACCATAGTCATAGACAGGAACCATCTGAATATAATCATAAAACATCTCTACATAAATAAAGACATACCTAAATAATTGAAGGAATATTCAGTATTCATGGGTAGGTACATAATAACAAATATTGCAATATTACTTAAATCAATTTCCTTTTTTATGCTATACCAACCAAACTACAAAAGACTTCTCTATAGAATTAGAAAAATATAACAAAATTCATCTGTAAGATCAATAGATCAAGAATATCAAGGGAATCAGTATTTTTAAAAGTGAGAGTGAAGGAAACCCAAAAGTGCCAGATTTCAAACTATTCTATGAAGCAATAATCATGAAAACAATTTGGTAATGGTGAAGAATTAGAGAGGTTGATCAATGGAACAGATTAGGTAAACAAATAAATGAACAAAGTAGCCTATTATTTGACAATCCAAAATATTGCAGTTATTAGGACAAGAGCTCACTATTTGACAAAAATTGGAAAGTAGTCTGGCAGAAACTAGGTATAGAACAACATCTCACATTACATACAATCTAATACCAAGTGGTAAATGACTTAAACAGAAAGAGTGATACCATAAACAAATCAGAGGAAAAGAAAGAAATGGTCAGATTTATGGATAGAGGAAGAGTTCATCACCAAGTAAGAGATAAGAGAGCTTCACAAGAAGTAAAAGTGACAATTTTTATTATACAAAATTAAAAACTGTGTGTATAAGCAAAACTAATTCAGCAAAAATTAGATGAGAAGTGAGTAAATGAGGGGAAAATCTTTGCAGCAAGTTTCTCTGATAAATGTCTCATTTCTAAGATAAATATGGAACTGATTCAAATTATAAGTATAAAAGCTATTCCCCAATTTATATGTTGTCAAGTGATATGAAAAGGCAATTTTCAGAGGAAGATATTTAAGCTTTCAATGATCATGAGGAAAAAAATCATTTAAATCATTTATAGAGAAATGCAAATGATAAATTCTACTTCATACTGATCAGATTTGCAAAGCTGACAAAAAAGACACATAACAAATGCTGGAAGAGTTGTCCGAAAACAGGCATGTTAATAAACTGTGGGTGGAGCTGTGAATGTTCTATCCATTCTGAAAAGCAATTTGGAACTATTCCCCAAAAGCTACAAAACTGTGCAAGCTCTTTGACCTAACAATGATGTTACAAGGTCTATCCCCTAAAGACATCAAAGAGAGAACAAAAGGACTCATATATACCAAAGTATTTATCTTGGATCTTTTTGTGGTGGCAAAGAATTGGGAACTGAAGGGGTGCCCATAAACTGAGGAATGGCTAAACAAGTTATGGCATATGTATGTGACAGAATACTATTATGCTACAAAGCAATGATTAAGGGAATGGTTTAGGAGAAACCTAGAAAGACTTGTATGAATTAATGGAGAAGGAAATGAGCAGAATTAGAAGAAATTTTATACAATAATAGCAATATTATAAAGACAAAAATTCATAGAAACTCTGAGCAACATGATGATTGACTACAATTCCAGAGGGCCCAAAATGAGGAATGCGAACTGCTTCCTGATAGAAAGATGATGTACTCTCACTACAGGCAGACATATCTTGTTTTGGATAAGGCCAATATGGTAGTTTATTTTCCTTGACTATACATGTTTGTAACAAAGGTTTTGCTTTTTCTTGTTTTCTTAGTCAGGAACCTGTGAGAGGGAAAGAATACAGTTCTGAAAATTTAATAAAAGAGAAAATATTTGCATTAAACCCAGGATCAGCATCTTATCCCTGTAGAATACCCTTAATAAAGAAGCTTGTATATCAAACCTTAAGCTCCATTAGACCAATGAGCTACAATATCCCCAAATGGCACAGATTCACGTTTAATACCAATCTGCTAAAGCATGAATAAGTACAGTCTGATAGGAACTGTCAAGATCACATTACCATGAGACACTGATAAATGGCTGAATAGTCATAATGAACTGAGTATCTCTGGATATAATCCTTATTCTGGTATCCAGTCTTTGGTAACCATTCTTATCATCATCTCCTATTAGAAGCTTTTACTCTATTCCTGTCCCCATTCTGATACGTAAGAAAAATCTTGCCATAGTCTAGGTCCTCATATCAATTCCTATCTCCTACCCCTAGCTCCTGCTTTTCTTTTTTTTTCTTCCAATCATTGTTTTCAATTTTTTTATTATTTATTTTGATTTATCAACAATCACTTCCATATGCTTTTGAGTTTAAAATTTTTCTCCCCCTTCCTCCCCACCACCTCCCCAAAACACAGCACAATCTGATATAGGCTATACATATACATTCCTATTAAACATATTTTCACGTTAGTGATGTTGTAAGTATGAATTAGAATCAATATGAGGAACCACCAGAAAGAGGAAACAAAACAACAGAAGAAAAAAAATTCCAAGTGGTATGCTTCAATCTGCATTCAAACTCTGTAGTTCTTTCTTTGGATGTGGATAGCACTTTTATTCATGAGGCCCTTGGAGACATCTTAGATCCTTGTATTGCTGGGAAGGGTTAAGTTTATCAGTATTAGTCATCGTACAACATGGCTGTTACTGTGTACAGTGTTCTCCTGGTTCTGCTCACTTCACTCAGCATTAAACCATACAAGTCTTTCCAGGTTTTTCTGAAGTCAGCCTGCTCATCATTTCTTATAGCACAATAGTATTCTATTACATTCACATACCACAACTTGTTCAGCCATTCCCCAATTGATGAGCATCCTCTCAATTTCCAGTTCTTTGCCATCACAAAAAGAGCTGCTATAAATATTTTTGTACATGTGGGTCCTTTTCCCATTTGTATGATCTCTTTGGGATATAGCCCTAGAAGTACTATTGCTGGGTCAAAGGGTATGCACATTTTGATAGCCCTTTGGGCATATTTCCAAATTGTTCACCAAAATGGTTGGATCATTTCACAACTCCACCAACAATGCCTTAGTGTTCCAATTTTCCCACATCTTCTCCAATATTTATCATTTTCTTTTTTTGTCATCTTGGTCAATCTGATAGGTATGATATGGTACCTCAGAGTTGTTTTGATTTGCATTTCTCTAATCAATAGTGATTTAGTAGCTCTTCTTTTCTAACAACTCTCTATGTTTCATCTTACCCCAATGGACTATAAGCTCTTGTTTTTGTATCTTCAGTGCTTAACACACTACCTGGCACATACTAGGCACTTAAAAGTGCTTCTCTTTCTTTCTCTCTCTCTTTCTTCTTCTTTCCCTCTCCCTCCCTCTCTCTCCCCCTCCATTTTTCCATGCATCCATTTGTGCACTCATCCATCCACCTGTTAATCTATCTGTCCATCACTCTCTATCTATCTGTCCAAATGATAGAATCTCAAATAGGAAAATGTGATTCTACATATCAATTTTAGGCTATATCTTCTTTCTTTGTCCAAAGAAGAAAGGCAACAGTCTCTAAACAATAAATACTGCAGGGCTGCTGAAGGAATGGATGAATAAATGAATAAAATGCATTTATTAGGTATTTAATATGTGACAGGCATTGAAGAAGAGGAGGAAGAAGATGATAGCCGTAAAGATAATTAACACTTCCACAATTATATATAGGTTTTGCTGTAAATACGTATTATTTCTCACTGAGTTTAGTGACAAACTTTGGCAACTTTAGCAAAGTCCATGCAATATTAAATATGCCCAGGAGTCCAAAATGTAATCTTTAATTTTTTTCTGTCTAGTTTACTTCACACCACTATCCATTTGCTATCCAAGTCAATCAAACTTGAATTGATCAAGCCAATTAATGCATCATGACTTTCTTGTGTCAGACATGCCAGTTCCATAGTCTTTATGCCATATAGTGAAAGGAGCCTGGGCCAAGATTCTGATGACCTAGGGTTCTAGTATATAATTTGGGTGGAGATTGGACTGAGTGGCTTCTGAGCACCTTTCTTCTCAAAATCTATGATTGTTCTATCTTTGGCTCAGTATGATCTTGAGTAAAGCACTTCACTTCTGTTTCTTCATCTGAAAAATGAAAGAGTTGAAGTTGAAAGGGTCCTTTTTGCTCTGCAGTCTATGATTCTATGGCTTGTTGATTTACTCAATTAGGAATTACCTCAAGTGAGTACAAAGGTGTTCTTGAAACTTCTTGCAGGTAAGCATTGATGATGTGGTGTTCAATTCACTACAGCACTGATACAGCATTATCATCAATCAATCAACAAGCATCTGTTAAGAATCTACAGTTATTGCTTCTACATCTGACTTTCCCCATTGCAGTTTCAGTATATTGTGAGTCAGGATAAGAAATTAAATGGGAATTTTTGGGGAGTTTTGCAGAAGCTTCTGATGACATGTGAGGGCTAGCAGATGACACAGAAAAAGTTTAGAAGCAGAAATGCATAATATATATATATATAATATATACATATATATATAATATATACATATATATAATATATACATATATATATTATATATATATATATATAATATATATATATATATATAAAGAATATAATACTAACCCAAATTTTGCAATATAAACACTCCAAAAAGAAAAGGGAAAAAAATAACTTCAGAATTCTTCTCTGGTATGAAGGGAGGGCAAAAAAAATTATGCACATTTTCTAGATCATGGGAATACTGCAGCCTTAACTCCAGCAATATGGAAGGGATAACTGTACCATGTGCCAGGTACTATGCTGGGATACATAGACAAAAAAAGAAAAAGAAATAGCCCTTATTGTCAAGAAGTTTTTAAGTTCTACCAAGTAAAGTCACATGGTTGGTGACCGCATTGCCATGGTGAGAGTTCTATGCCTTTTTCCTTCACAAAATAGCTCAGGATATCTGGAATTATCCCCTTTTCACTGAAGAGCAGAGTTCTTACCTCATCACCTAGTCCCATGCTATTCCTCTGGCCTGAGGTCATTCCCAGCAGAGGTGGCTAGAGTTTTCAATAAACAAATAGATTAAGCCAAATGAGGCACAATGACCTTGAAGGCATGTATAAGGCCTGATATCCTGAGGAACACACCAAAAAGGACTTAATCTCAACCCTACAGGCTCAGTGGAGAGAACCTCCCCTCCTTATCTATACCTAAAACTCTTACAATTTAGCACAGGCAGAGAAAATTATGAATGATTTCCCTCCTCCTGCCTCTTTCTCTTCTGCCTCCCTCGTTTCCTTGCCAAAGCAGCTGTTTTCTATTACAACAGAGGCTGACAAGGTGCAGGTCTGGAGCAGTGCCTCCTTGGCAGGTAATTTTGATGAGGCCCAGAGGTATGCAGTTGGGTGTCTCTGATGGGTTTCCGGTCCTGTTATCAGTTCAGTCCAGCGCCCTTCAGACAAAGCTGCCGTCTGCACATCAGGCCCATGTTTGGCTCAGGGCCCAAGCTTACACTGGAGCATCATTCATATGTCTGGACTGATACGTCAACTTTTTTCACTTAAACACTGAACTGGGGTGGGATAGGGTCAGGATCTTGCCCTTGGGCATGGGCACCTGGGTCTGAGGAAGCTGGTCAGATGGCTGTCAAATTTGTTGATTTCTTCCTTCCCTTAGTACTTCCTTCTGTCCGAAACCCCAACAATGGGAACATTTATATGAAAATTATCATAAAAAGAAAGGACACCCTGAATGAAAATACAGAGGTTCTGATGACATTGAGAAAGAAAGACTTAATAATTGTCTTGATAGGAGACCTTCCACCAAGTAGAGAAATAAGGCTTTTAATGAGAAATAGAGTGACCTCTACCAGTTAGGGAAGCTGTCAAATTCTCTTAAAGCCTGTGTTACTATCTTTTTTAACTGGTTTAGCTACGTCTTCCTCCTTTGTCTACATATAGATTATGGATTGGGGCCAAAAAGGACCTCAAAATTGATTCAGTCCAACCCCTTTATTTTATAGAAGAGAAAACTGAAAGAGATTAAGTGATTTATCTCAGGGCACACAGGTATTAAGCAGCAGAAGATGGATATGAAGCCAAGGACTCTGGAATACCAATGTTCTTGCCATAGTTCCAAACTTCCTCAGAAATGCCTTTTCCTATAAACCAAGAGTATTATATACGTGAGCAGCATTATTCATCTCATCTCTGATATTCACTAACTTTGTAGTCTTGGGAAGACACTTATCCTTTCTGGGCTGCTCATGAATACATTTTTGGAACTGAAAAGGGTTTCTTTGAGCATAAACACTGAGACTAACTAGCATCATATGTTACATCAGAGGTGTCCAACACGTAGTCTTGAGTGCAGGCTGAAACAGATTAAAATGTAATCAGGAAATATTTAACAAAATAAATACAAATACAATAGAACATTTGTTGTGTCATTTCAGTCATGTCCAACTCTTTGTGACCCCATTTAGGGTTTTCTTGATAAAGATATTGAAGTGGTTTGCCATTTTCTTCTTTAGCTTATTTGATAGATGAGGAACTGAGGCAAAGAGAGTTAAGAGACTTGCCCAGAGTTCCACAGCTGGTAAATGTCTGAGGCCTGATTTGAGCTTGGATAGATAAGTATTCCTGACTCTAGACCCAGTGCTCTATCCACTATACTACCTGGCTGGTCTATAGTACAACATAGATAATGTTAATATGTGATTTTCTTTATGTATGGTTTAGTGGCTTGTTTCTATATGAGTTTGACATCACTGCATTACATGAGTTCACCCCAAAAGTCATTCAAAGCAAGGATAGTGAGTTCTCTCCTTAGCTCTGCAAACACCCACACTCTATACTGCAGATTAAATCCTGGCATATTTGACTCATCTATTTTTCCATTCGGCTCAGACAGATAAAATAAGTGTCAGGCAGTTAGCCGTGGGCAGGGGTTTGGTTGAAGCCAGGAGTGCACATGAAAGATTGCTTGAATGAAATGAAGGGAGTATGTGCTAGAGCGAATGTTAGACTGACTGAGAGTTCAGGGAGTCAAAGTGTCAATGAGTAATTGCTAGTGAAGTCTTTAGAACTGGAAGTCAGAAATCCTAGGTTCTTGGACTACTCCCCTTTGTGTACATGAATGAAATGAATCAATAAAAAGGCATTTATTAAATTATTATTATGCACTGAGTATCTCACATCTCTTTGCCCTTTCCTCAATTCCCCTAGGTAATGGTAAGAATGCACCAAAGACTGGCCTTCTAGAGGACTGAATTATGAGATTTGAGAGGTGCTGGAAAGGGATATGATTTGAAGGATGAGGAACAGGTCCATTTGCTCCAAAACATCCCCTAAAAGTGCCCAGGATGCCAACATCTATTACTTGGGTTAAGTGAGAATCTAAACACTTTGGAAGAATTAGCACACACAGACCCTGAGGTCATTCGCGCAACAGTGCTGGTTGAGTTATAGGACAGTTAGCTGTCTTTGAGAAGCAGAAAGTCTGCCTTGTGGGAATTCTATCAGAAAGGTAGTTCTGAAGAGGTTGAGAATTGAGAGCTAGGTGTCCTCATAGAGTTCTGCCAGACAGGAGAGGCCTGAGGTGAAAACTAAGGCTGGAGTCTCTAGAGGGACATCTGGGGCTACATGAAATTTGGGAATCTAGGGGTGCCAAGACGTAGGCCAAGATCTCTCCCTGCTGGGCCTCCAGAGACCATCTTTCCCTCTTGGTCCACCACACCTTTCTGGCTGAGTGAGTTTACTTGTCTAAGCTATTATACCTATTCAGCCCCTGGCCATTCTTCACATCCTGTCCAGCTACCCACCAGGAAATAAGAGCCTACACTAAATATAAAAATTTTGTTGTTGGGGGAGACTGGATAATTTCATCCCAAATGGGATGCAATCTTGCAAATGACATGCAATACTGACCAAATCACCAACCTCCCAATTCTTCCATTTCTTCACCCACCTGGAAGGGGAGATGAACGGTCTGCTTCTATGGTACCTAATGTGAGTTCTAACTTACAGTGCTATATAAAAGTGAGCTGTCATCATTGTATCACATATCAAATGCAAGGCCTAACTCATGAAATTGTGTTGCCATTGATCAAGTAGCATAGCTCTATTTAAGCAGTTAAAACAGTTCTACATCCATCCTCTCATCCTCTGTTGACTTGTTACAAGGTCATGGCTCTAGAGCTGGAAAGAGCCTTAGAGACCCTACAGGATGACTGCCTCATTTTGCAGATAAGAAAACAGAGGCCCGGAGAGATTGAAGTGACTTGCCCATTATCACACAGATAGTAAGCATCAGAAGTGGAATTTGAGATAAGGTCTTCTGAGATAGCTAGGTGGTACAGACACTTACTAACTGTGTGACCCTGGGCAAGTCACTTAACTCCATTTGCCTCAGTTTCCTCATCTGTAACATGAGCTTGAAAAGGAAATGGCAAACCACTCCAGTATCTTTGCCAAATGTCATCACAAAGAGTTGGACCACTGAAATGACACAACAACAATGACAACAGCAACACAGTTGTTAGAGTGCTGGACTTTGAGTTAGGAAGACCTGAATTCAAATGCTGCCTCAGACATTTATTAGCTATGTGACACTGGGCAAATCAATTGCTTTTAGTTTTTTTCCTTCTGCAAAATGGAGATAAAAGTAGCACCTACCTCTTAGGGTTGTTGTAAGGATAAAATAAGATTAATAGATGTGAAGTGCTTTGCAAACCTTAAACCTATATAACTGCTGACCATCATCATTGCCATCATCATCACTGTTACTACTATTAATTATTATTCAGAGCCTGTGCTTTCTGGACCGTCCCACACAGCCTCCATCTGGAAGTATTTTTTTTAAATTTTATTTTTTATAACACTTTTAAAAAGCTCATTTCTACTTAGGCATAGCATGAAAGACCCATACACACTTTAGCATTAAAAGGCCTTATGTGGATTTAGGCTCCATAAAAGTGATGATCCTGGCAGCTGCAAGGAAGGGAAGAGTCTGGCTCACATATGTGAGGAAAATGTGCCCTTTTCCCTCTGATCAGTGGACTAGAACTGTCAGGAGATAACAAGTACCATGCCATACAAAGTCAAAGACCCATGGCCTGTTCAAGTTGTAAGGGACCTCAGATGATCTCTTCCAATTTGACAAATGAGGAAACAAGAATGAGGTGATTTGCCCAGCATCACACAACAGCTTAGTGGCAGAACTAGGACAAAGATCCAGGTCTTCCAACTTCCATTCCCGGGCTTTTTCTACTGAGCCCTAGAGATGTGAAGTGATAGAGATACATTTGGGCAGTCTGGCCTTAAGAGTGACACACACATGGGGCAGTTGGGTGGCGCAGTGGATAGAGCACTGGCCCTGAAGTCAGGAGGACCTGAGTTCAAATCTGGCATCAGACCAAACACTTGACACTTGCTAGCTGTGTGACCCTGGGCTAGTCACTTAACCCCAATTGCCTAAAAGCAAAAGAAAAAAAAAAGAGTGACACACACACAACAGTAGGTTGTTTCCAGAGAACATGACAGAAAGAAACATGCTAACTTAGAAATGAGGAGGGGGAGGTAAAGGCTTAGAAACCTGGGGAGCCTGAGGTAAAAAATGTAGGTAGTGTTCTGACCTTTGAGCTTGCGCTGCAGCTAATATTTCACTTTGATGTGGCAAGATAGGATCAAGAGCTGAAGGGGCTCTCTAGGGCACACCAGAAATGAAGTCTTCTGAGACACAAGCCTCCCACACTTTGTGGGAACCGCAACTGAGGGAAGCACCCTAGTCTGAATTACTATTGATTAGTTTCACATCAAGTCAAAACAAGCATCCTTTATCTGCTAGTGTTTATGCCAGTCACTGAGACTGGGACCATGGCAGCTACAGGAATCAGAGTACATAGTCCTCGATCTTTAGGAAAATCTACTCTCATTTGGAGAGATATGGCATAAACATATGAAAAGTAAAGGAATACAAGATTGAAATAACCACTTACAAAAATGGAAGAGACACTATAAGAGCATGTGTGATTAATTGCAAATTATATGTAGTTTAGACTGTACACTGATCTTTGACTTAGTAGATAGATTCTAGGGAGTTATCCACCTAAGGCATACAAAG